AAAAACTATCAGGTCTGTGCAGTGTCGTATGACATCTATGTACCAAGTTTCATTGAAATGTGATGATTAGTACTTGAGATATCAGTGGAAAAACCGAAAATTGACTAATCATTATGCAAATTAGGTAATTAGTATCCATGGATTATTACCAAAAACTAATCAAAACCTAGCATTAGTTCAGAGCATCTATGTACCAAGTTTCATCAAAATCCAATGAGTGGTTGTTTAGATATCAGTGGAACAGTCATGGAACCACTAAAAAAATAGCTAATTATCATGCAAATTAGGTAATTAATATGCACGGATTTTTACCAAAAACTAATCAAATCTGCGCATATGTTCAGAGCATCTATGTACCAAGTTTCATCAAAATCCAATGAGTGGTTCTTTAGATATCAGTGGAACAGTCATAGAACAGCTAAAAATTAGCTAATTATCATGCAAATTAGGTAATTAACGAGCATGGATTTTTACCAAAACCTAATCAAATCTGCGCATTGGCCCAGAGCATCTATGCACCAAGTTTCATCAAAAAACGATGTATGGTTCTTGAGATAGCAGTGGAACAGTGGGACACACATACACACACACACACACACACATACACACATACAGACACACTAACTGCAAAGACTCCCATTTTGTGCTTCGCACATGGGAGTCAAAAAACAAAAAATGGGAAAAAGTTGCCAGTCCAAAATCAAAGGACTGGTGGCTGGCTAACACCCTGGTCCAATGTATGTTAAATACAGACTTCTTTGATTGGTGAAAACCAATAATACAACTTGGAAAGTGTGGTAAATTTAACGGTATTCACAGCTGCCTACAAAGCAGCAAGATACATTATAGATTACTCATTATCGCAGACATCACTGTTCTGTACATATTGGTACACTCACCTTTGACTCCAAGTAAAGCCCCTGTTGTACAACCACCAATGAAGTAATTTAACCTGCCATCTTTTCCCCTCACTGATGTTGATATACAAGTAGTTGCTCCAAACACAGCACCAAGGGCCGCTGTAACCAATGATAGACTATATAGTTTATACTTTTTTAAACCAAAATGTTAATTTCTGAATGAATAAAGTTTCTATTCTATTCTTTAACCTGGGTAACAGTTTTCCCTGCAATACTTCCAGTGTGTACATTTTCGAAAGCAAAAATAACAAGTTCATGTTAGTTGAATAGTCAAAACTGAAAAAATTACATGAAATTAAAAGCGAGGAAGTAGTCGCCATAGCATGTTATTGTTTACAAACAAGCGTCTACCAATGAACCTTGCGCTTTTAGCGTGTGTTGTTATCATCGCTTTGGACTCAATTCCTGCATGCGTGCAGGTGACGACCCTCTCGCTTTAAGCATGTAATAGAGAATAAAGTACTTTTCATTCCAAGAAAAGAAAAATACAAATTTAAATTTTTGCTATCTTTTCATGTCATGTAGTTTTAAAGTTTGATTACAATCAGTGCACATGTACGTCAGAGACATTGTGATCGTTAAATAATATGTCCATATATCTTGTGAATACCACAAATGTTGAATTTGGTATATGGCACGTACTACCTCAAGTTCTCACTCCAAATGCTACAAACAAAATATACTGAATAACACAGCTTTAATTTACGCCTTTCGCGGGTGTTAGTTAACAGCCAGTTCAAGTATCTGATGATTGGTCAGAGTCATTAAAAAAATCACTGTCAATGTTTGGACAGATGTCTCCACTTACCCATTGTTAATGTAATATTTCCTCCATTGATTAATCCTTGCACTGGCGTCAGTTTACCATATTTGAATAAATAGGCATACATACTAGAAGCTAAACCTGTAAACAAGACAAGACAAGTGCATGTCATTAAACCATGGCACTGTAGATTTCAAGCTCTGTGATTGGTTAAAAGCCCACCAAAATATTGTAAACATTTTTTTTTTCTGCCATGCATTCATGAAAGTCACAGACTGTCTATAACCCAAGAATGTTGCTAGTGGGGGAGTTTATCATTATTATCATATGGTGTTGGCAATGGTACTCTGCTGAGTAAATAGAAAGCAAACAAAACAGTAGCATTTCTTCTCTTTGCTGAATCAAAAATAAAGCGTGGTGGTAGTCGCGCAGCGCATGCAGGGTCCTCCCCAGAAGAAAAGCAAAGCGCCACGGCTAATTTGCATAATAATTTGCATATCATTTACATACCGTATCTTTCCTTCATTGATTAACAGAACTTATTTACAATTAAGAATATTAGTGAGCTCGTTCACAGTGCAAATATTTTTTTAATGGAATCAACACATTATGTTTCACAATTTAGAAGAGTTTGAAACATTCTCAAAATACAAATGCTGCAGACTAAAAACAAACACAAATAAATTATTGTTGCAATTTAATTGTATTGTAAAACGTTGAATGAAACGCATTCAAAACGTTAAGCCAGATTTATGTTCACGAATCTCATAATTTTATTCACTCCAAAAACATTCTCCTTCAAAAAAACGATCACGTAATTAATTGGCGTATTGTTGTAATTTATTATTCGTACCATCAACTTCTAAAACGTTCACAATTACAGTAATGAGCGAACAAATATAGCTTCAAAACGATCATCAAAGTTACGACGTAACATAACTTATTTGGCCATGTTATACACCAGTTATAGCAATAATTCCTCAAAAAATGTTGCTTCTTTTTTTTTGATATGAAATGTAAGTAAAATCCGACTTATTTTTATCAGGAGCGATTATTTTTGATCACTCGATCACTTCGGTAAAAAAAAACAGACCCGCCATGATGTTTGTGAAACATAAGCATGTGTCCTTTGACCCGATGGGTCAAGAATGCCATTGACCAATCAAAATGCCGCATGGTAACGCCGGTAGAATCTGAAGTTTTCCGAATGGTAGTGATCATAAAAATTACATTGCGGAAGTAAAGCGATGTCGTAGCACGATGTGTTGGCATCGATTTCAATTGAAAACTGCATGATGGCTTTTGAAAGAGGTGATTTGCAATTTTTAAAAGGTAAAATAGGTCTTGAAAGAAGAGTTTTTACATGATTCGCAATGATAACAGTTCAAATGTATTTTACCAAATCACGCAATAAACACGTTGTTTTATCTTGAGTAGCGTGAACTGATCATGAACTCCGCTTTGACCATGTTATATTGAGGTGGAATTGATTTTGAAACATTTTTTTAGCCTTCAATCTAAAGACTGTGTCTATCGCAGAAAGTATTTACTTACAAACAAAGAGGTGCTAATTTCACAAATTTGACTAGCCGCTACGTATCGTGCGACTAGGTCTATTGTTTACAAATTATAATCCACGACTGGCAGGATGCGTGTCGGTCGGTATGTAATTATAATAACAATCAGACAATAGTCCTGGTCGGAAGCGTTTCCGTGGTGGTCACTAATTTTGAGTGATGGTCAGGGTCGACCGGCGTGGCGAATAAAGCTTTTGCACATCTGATATTGGCATGTCAAATATGAAATCAAGCGCTGAGGTGGGAACACATAGCGACAGTGTATTAGCCAGTCCCAAGTAAAGCACCGAGATTCACAAGTATAGCGCCGCGGACCTCGGCGCTAAAAAACCCTGGGGGGAACCCTGGCATGTTCTAATTTCATGTAAATAAACAACGTATTTTACACATGTTGTATACATCGCTATGAGTCCCATATCGAACAGGACGCGGCACGACGACTGCCGCCCTTTAAAGCGTTATTACAGGTAGTTATTTACATATTAAATATGGTCGGCACTAGTAGTATTTAATTCAAGAATGGACATGTGACAGTAAAATTTCCTTAGGGCCCCTTCCCCCTAAAACATTTCGATCAGGATAGATTTATCTTTCTCAAGATACACTTGTATCCTGATTGGGATATGTATCTTGTTCGACAGATAGTCCTGA